TTAACTTTTATATAGAGAGGTGGCATTTGTTCTTCAAGCAACACCACCTCTCCACATGATATATTAAAAAAATAATATATTAAATTTTAATTAAATATTTAATTATATTTTTTTCTATTACTTAGTATCTATTTGCTCATAAGTTATATAGCTAATTATTGATAGCAATAGCTATAATAATATTTTTATAAGTATTTTATTAGTAGTTTAATTGTATACATATATCTATTTTTAACTAAATATATATTTTTATAATATATATAATAATTAATTTTTAATTTTTATTCAGAGAGGTTGCATTTGTTCTTCAAGCAAACGCCACCTCTCTACATGACATATTAAAAAAATAATATATTAAATATTAATATATAAATTTTAATTAAATATTTAATTATTATTTTTCCTATTACTTAGTATCTATTTGCTCATAACTATAAGTAATATAGTTAATTATTAATAGCAATAGCTATAATAATATTTTTATAAGTACTTTATTAGTACTTTAATTGAATACATATATCTATTTTTAATTAAATTATATTTTTTCTAATAAATATGATAATTATTTTTTCTTGATTTCTATTCAAAGAGGAATGATATATTAAAAAAATAATATATTAAATATTAATATATAAATTTTTTATTAAATATTTAATAATAATTTTTACTACTATTTAGCATCTGTCTGGTTATATTATTAAGTTATGTAGCTAATTATTGATTGCAATAGCTATAATAATATTTTAGAAGTATTTTCTTAGTAGTTTAATTGTATAATATATCTATTTTTAACTAAATATATATTTTTCTAATAAATTGATGGCTAATTTTTTTAATTTTTATTTAGAGAGCTGGCATTTGTTCTCCAAGCAAACGCCACCTCTCTACATGATATATAAAAAAAAAATAATATATTAAATATTAATATATAATTTTAATTAAATATTGAATTATTATTTTTTCTATTACTTAATATCAGTTTGCTCATAATTATTAAGTGATATAGCTAATTATTGATTGCAATAGCTATAATAATATTTTTATAAGTATTTTTTAGTGCTTTAATTATATACATATATCTATTTTTAATTAAATATATATTTTCTAATAAAGATGATAATTATTTTTTTTAATTTTTATTCAGAGAGCTGGCATTTGTTCTTCAAGCAAACGCCACCTCTCTACATCATTATTAAAAATAATATATTTAAATATTAATATAGAATTTTAATTAAATATTAATTATTTTTGTTCCGATTACCTAGTATCTATTTTTCTCATAATTATTAAGTGATTATAGCTAATATTGATAGAAATAGTTATAATAATATTTTTATAAATACTTTATAGTTCTTTAATTGTATATAGATATCTATTTTGAAATAAATATATATTTTTTAATAGATATGATACATATTTTTTTAATTTTTATTCAAAGAGGTGGCATTTTTTCTTGAAACAAATGCCACCTCTCTACATCATTTATTAAAAAAATAATATATTAAATGTTAATATATAAATATTATTTATATATTTAATTAAATTTTTACTAATATTTAGTATATGTTTTGTTATAATTATTAAGTGATATTTGTAATTATTAATAGCAAAAACTATAATAATATTTTTATAAGTATTTAATTGTATACATATCTATATTTTAAATAAATATTTATATTGTAAATTAATATTTTGTAGGTATATCTAATATTTTGTTGTATAATTATTAATAAATTAAAAACATATATCTCAGGACCCCCAACTCATCTAATATTCCTGTAAAAAAATTATAAAATTATGAAAATATGTTCTCCAATGAAAACAGATAATTAAAAGATGTAAAATGAAATTTTCTAAGTAATTAACAAAAATACTAACATAATAATGAAAGTATATATAAATAAATTTTTTATTCTCCAATGTTTAGATGACAGAAAAAATTAGTACTTATTTTATTTAAGAATTTATTATCTCTCTTTGAACAATATTTTTTTAAGAAATTGTTATATCAACACAAATTTAAACATAAAACAAATATTTTGTTTTAGAATTGCTTTTTTACACAAATTATTTTACATTAAAATTTATTACTTAGTGTATATTAAGAATTAAGAATATAATTAACACTAACAAGGTTATGTCTAGCAGAAAAAGTTATTCTCTCACAGTATGGCAAACTAAGTTTCAAATCCCCACTGAAAGAAATGCCCACATTTAGTATTCAACTGTACCTCAAATATGATTGACTCTAATAAGAGGATATCTATGATCAATAAAAAAAAGACTATAACTAATAAAAATTAAATTTGAAAAACTAAATCAATAATTGAGATAAACTTGAGGAACTAAAAGTTATATTATTTCTTTTAATTTTTGTTTAAATATAAATTATTTATAAAAGGAGGAGACTTTATGATGTGACCTTTCAATTATAATTTGGAGATCTTTATATATACGTATGTATACATACATACATACATACATACATACATATATATATATATATATATATATATTCGCTTCCTTTTTTTGTGTTGCTGAACATTGTATGATCTGTGTTATTGACAAACTTTATGGTTGACTGATTATCAATAAATGTAGTGACATCTGTGACATTGTGAATTATGTTCCTTCAGCCTGAGTTGTGATCATGATATAGTGTTGCTAGTGTTATTGGCACTTCACTCATGTTTGTTAATACTCTCTCTGTGCATTTAGTTTATGTTTGTTACTATGTCATTGGGCATTTTTCTTCTGAATAGTTTAGTAGTATGCTTTTACTTGTGTTAGCTTAAGATTTTTAGCTTTGCTTGTAGAGTATATGTCTGTAGGAAGTCTCTATGATTACTTGCAGAAAAACCATATAATATGTTGGAGCTCTCTCAACTACTAAAGTTTTCGGTTGATGTCTGCAAGGGTATGGAGAGTATTTGCCAAGAAACAATATAATTCACAAGGATCTGATACTACTACAAAGAAAACTTACGAGAATACCCGCACCAAAGAGCGTACTTATTAAAAATGCTCCTAGATAAAGAGATGGAACAATTTAAAATGCTTTTTGTTAGGAGGCGCTCTGGAAAGCTAGACCTATTAGAGTGCTTCTTTACAAAAGTGTTCCGGTAGGATTATAAAAAAAATTAAGAAATCTTTAACCTATAGAGAGTATTTGCTAAGAAACAATATAATTCACAAGGATCTGATACTACTACAGAGAAAACTTACGATAACGCCCTTACTAAAGTTACTTATTAAAAATGCTCCTAGATAATGAGATGGAACAATTTACAATGCTTTTGTAAGGAGGCGCTTTGGAAAGTTGAACCTATTAAAGTGGTTATTTACAAATCGCTCTGATAGGATTATAAAAAAATTAAGAAATCTTTAACTTATAGGAGCACTCCCATTGGGTATAATAAAAAAATAAAAAATAAATCTTTGACCTATGGGAGTGCTCCCATTGGGTATAATAAAAAAATTTTAAAAAATCTTTAACCTATGGGAGCACTCTTATAAGACTTCCCTAAGCACTTTTGTCAGAAGCATTACCATAGGCTCACCCTACTGGAAAGCTTTCATATAGGAGTGTTTTGGATATGGGAGCACTTCTGAAACATTCCTATAGACCAAAAATAAATGCTCCCAGAATTATTTTTTTTTGTAGTAGTGTGATAGCCAATCTTTTGATTGATACCCACAATAATGTAAGAACTTATGATAAATTTTAATTTAAATACTGTAATATGTTACCCTTGCACTAAATTGGGTTTTACTTTCCAAAAGCACGTTGATGAATTATATGTATGTTGTTATGTCCCTGCTTGTGGATTCAATTTTTTTTTCTCGACCGCTTGATGATATACTATTAAAACTAAATTTACCACAAAAGTCCAATTATTAATATACTATATATGAAGAATATAGCCATTAGGCTTGATTCTCATTGAATTCATGACTTCATATCCTCATTTAGACGTGATCATCCAACAGTATCTTTTTGCCTTATCCAATGAGAATTTCCCTTTTCTGGTTCTAATTTCCTTTTGATCTGCTTTAGTATAATTTATTTCTCTTTAATTCACATAAATCATGGGACTCGAGTGCCTGATTTCTACCATGCCCTCCCCTATAAAGGTTTGTAGATATCTTCCTTCCGTTGAAAACTAGTGAATTTAATTTGTCTTGTTGGCCTGATAAAAAGAAAAATTAAAGTATGTAATTGAAAAAGTAGCCCATTGCATTCATTGAATTTATTACATTCAACATGTTGTGTTCCTTCTTTTCTTGTGTTTGTGGTTATTAGATTCATTTCTAGTTTGATTAAAGAGCATTGTATTTTTTAGGTGCATTTTTTATCTAGAAAAACAGTGTGCTATTTCATATTTCAACTCATTTATGGACAGTAATTTAATAGTTGTGAAAGAACTATTGTTAGGTAGCATTTGAATTTGTGGACTTGGATTTAAATTTTAAATTTAAAATCTTGCATTCAAATCTCAAATTTAGAATTCATGTATTTAAAATTCTTTGCTTGGGTAGTTTAATGAAATTAAAATGAAGAAGAGATATGAATAAAGATTCAAAATAAAAATGAAAAATTAGAAGTGATGATTTTAACTATATTTTTCAATTGATGAGATATAAGAAAAGATATGAGTCATAGAGGTAACAAAAACACAAAGAGGATGAAAGTTTTAAAGTTTAACCACAATGCAACGTAACATTTAAAATAATTAAACCAAATTATAATTCACAGTAAAGCGCATTTGTGAAAAAACAGTCAAAGCATAAATGGAGGGGAAAAAAAGAATTGAAAGCATAAATATGCATGTAGAACTGGCTGAAGCAAAACAAAGTGCAGCCTTATTGTCATTAGATCAAAAAGTTGGGAATGAAAAGAAAATCAACTCTAGAAAATAGGGGCTTTTGATCATTATTCAAGACAAGCTAAACTACATGAGTACATCATATGAAGATGATACATCAAATACTGATAAGGTTCAAAACTCTTTGCAGTTGAGATCTCCAAATGTGATACTATGGAATGGAACAAAACTAGGCAATGCTGATGTGGCAAGCTCCTTACACACTTGCTCTATGGTTGGGCGAATTTGTGGATTTTCATTCAAGCAAGTGAAAGCTACTCTTGCAATCAGCATCACCATCTCAGCCACCGAACCTTGAGGATAAATTAACCTTTGGTCTAACACGTCCTTCAAAGGAAAATCATAGGCTTCTACTGTTGCCTCTCTCATAGAAGATGTGGTCGAGAAAAAAGACATCATAATATCTCTTGGATGCTTTCCCATGATTATTTCCAGCGCTAACACTCCAAAGCTATAAACGTCACATTTCTCTATCACTTCCATTGTGTAAGCAAGTTCTAGAGTGAAATTAAAATGATATCATCCCAAAAAGAAAAAGAAAAAATATTAGTAAGAAAATTTAGCTATAATTTTATTCAAATTGTACCAAATGAAATATAGAATAAAATATAGAATAATGAAATTCAGAAGTAATGGGAAATCACAAAATACAACAAAAAAAAAGTCTTACCTGGAGCAGCATAACTAAAGGTGCCAGCAAACATGGTCCAATTGCTTGAATTAGGATTCAAATGTTTGGCTGCTCCAAAGTTGGATATGTGAACCTCATAATCTGAGTCTAAAATAACATTTTTGCTTGAGATGTCACGATGAACTATTGGAAGGGAGCATCCATGATGAAGATAGTTTAAAGCATTAGCCACACCTTCAACAACTTTTATTCTTTTTTTCCAATCCAATGCAATTGCTTGTGCCTCATTGCTTATTATCTTATCCAAGCTACCCCCTCCAAGGAATTCATAAATTAAAAAGGAGAACTATGTATGCAAGTAAGAGCCATGTAGTTTGGATATATTCCAATGTCTAATTTCTGTCAATGCACGAATTTCCCTCATAAAAGCCTTTTGATGAGACAAATCCCTCTTTGGTACTGAATGAAGCTTCTTTACAGCTACAACTTGACCATTGGATAATTTATCTTTGGAGACACTTCCATGCCCTCCAACGTCGATGAGATATTTTTCATTGAATTCCTCTGTGGCTTCAATAATGTTGTCATACGCTATTTTCCAATCAAAATTCCAGAAAGGAAACAAATTTTGAGTTTGCAGTTCCCTTTCTTGACTTTCTAATTTTCTTTGTGGTGGAAAATAATATATGAAATTCCCTTGTAAAGTATTACTAGCATCGTCACACATCCCAAAACAAAGGAGGTAGCAAAAATTACCATTTTCTTACCCTTGCGATGGCTTGAGGTGTTATTTTTTTTCTGGCAAATTGGCAAGTCAAATACAATGCCACATAAGCCTTTGTTGCCTCTTAATCTTTCCATTGTAGCCGTACGAAAGGCTGAAATATTTGGAAGTGGGCCCTCTAATTGATTTTGTGATATATCAATTGAAATCAAGCTTTTCATGTAATCAAAAGATGAAGGTATGGTGCCAGAGAAATTATTGTGTGGGAGGTTCAACACTACCAATTATTGTAGCTCTCCAAGCATGGTTGGGATTTTTTCAGTGAAAGAGTTTCCACTAAGATCAAGATATTGAAGATGTTGTAGCTGGACAAAGCTAGAAGGAAGGCTATAGAACTTATTTCCACTTAAATTCAATGCCCATAACTTAATCAATTGACCAACTTTTTTGGAATTGAACCACGTAAGTGATTGTTAGCTAGACTCAATTGTTCAAGGTTCTTTAATGATCCTAAACTAGGGGGAGTGTTGCTTGAAAATTGATTGTTGCTTTACATAAGCTTACTCAATAATGACAATTGACTCAATTCTTTTGGAATCTTTCCTATCAATTGATTTGAAGACAAATCATGTCTCTATAACTTCGTTGCCTCGAATAACTCCAATGATATGCACCCTAATAAGTGATTATTGGATATCTTGAGGCTTGAAAGATTAAGGCACTTACCCCAATATGGTGACAAGTGGCCATAAAATGTATTGTCACTCAAATCAATGCAGTATAAGTGTGGATATACACTAAAAGCATCAACCATATTTCCTATGAATAGATTATTTTCAAGTTAGACTCTTCTAAGGCCAGAGCAATTGCTCAAACTTCTAGGAATTAGACCACTAAAATGATTTTGATCGGTACTAATATAAGCTAGTATCTCGCTATGGCAAATGTCTTAAGGCAAATGACCTTTGAAATTATTCTTAGAAATTTTCAAGGATTGCAACTTGGTAAGGTTATTCATTTTTGATGGAAGATTGCCACTAGGTTTGTTTTCAAACAAACTTAGTTCAAACAGCTTTGTCATCTTTCCAATACTAGAAGGAATCGGTCCAGAAAGATTGTTTTCATGAAACTCTAGCAAGATGAGTTTGGTCAAGTTTCCAATACTTGAAGGAATAGATCTAGAAAGATGGTTCTCATAAAGAAGGAGGGTGTCTAAATTGGCCATATTCCCTATGGAGGATGGGATTGATCCTGATATGTCATTTTTTAACAATTGCAATGTTACCAAGGAGTTAGAGTTTCCCTACTTCCCATGGAATAGACCCTGAGATTTGATTGAAATAAAGATAAAGATGTTGTAAATTAGACATATTTCCAATAGTATTAGGAATGCTACCAATGAGATTGTTGTCAGACATGTCAAGTTGAAAAAGTCCCTTCAATAATCCAATTTCATGGGGAATAGAACCAATTAGCTGATTACTTCCAAGTGCTAAGTACCAAAGGTTTATCATCCTTCCAATTTGGGGAGGAATGTGGCCAGAAAGGAGATTGTTTCCTAGATATAGGTAAGACAAGTTAGCCAAATTTGCTATACCTTTGGGGATATAGCCATTGAAATAATTGAAACCTAAGTCTAAAGCAACAATATTCCTTGTCAATTGAGTTATGAAAGATGAAAGTGATCCAGAGAGACTATTGTTATGCAAAGAAAGTTGACAGTGAGGACAAGTTGCCAATACTTTTTGGAATGCTACCAGTAAACTCATTATGGGAAAAATTTATAATGTTAAGTTTGGACAGTTCACCAATCTGGGAAGTAATAATCCCATAAAATGAGTTCTGATGTATAGATATGAATTAAAGATTTGGGAAAGATGAGAAATTAAGGTTATCAAGCATACCTCTTAATCCATGATTTTGAAGAAAAATATTAGAAATGGAGTTGAACTCATCACATGTAATTCCAACCCAATTGCAAAGATGACTAGTATTACCATTCCACGATGATAATAGAGCTTGGCTTTTGTTGTCAAGGCTGGCTTTCCACTTCAGTAAAGCATTTGCTTCACTGTTTGGAGAACTTGTGGAAGAGGAGACATGTGATGAAGAGGAACTTATAAAGTGGATCATTAGGGCAACCTACCAAATTGTTAACGTTCCAAAAAACTTAGGTTTCCTAACATGAATCCCATGGTTATGAAGAGAATTTTGAATCAAATGATGATCGCATAAACATAAAGGATACCAGATGTAACACACACACACACACACACAAAAGTAAATGTGGTAACAATAATTTATTTTCTTACTTTCTATATTCCTAACCTATAAGGTAACACACACAAGTAAATGTGGTAACAATAATTTATTTTCTTACTTTCTATATTCCTAACCTACAAGGTAATTTACTTAACACATGTAATTTACCATTTGAATTGATGGAGATAAATGACATTGACTGAAGAAAGCATGACCATTGTAAGTGTAAAGAATCCATGACTCTATATGTGAAATGTAACTGATTGAGGACTTTTCTTCAAATGTGCAAGTCAGGCCAACTTGACAAGAAAAGATTAAGAAACAAGCTTTGATATCTTTTTCAAAAAGAAAAAAAAAGAAAACAAGAGAAAGACTTTACAAAGATCCAAAAATCAACCAAAGCATGTGATGGATCCCATGGTATGGATGACATGGCATTAATGGCAATGAAGCTTGAGAATTGTAATCATGAGCATGATGACATGGAAGGAGCCCAAGGTAAGGAGCAAAGAGCCTAATACTTCCAATCCAACATACCTAAAGACCCATTACAACATATTGGAGGTCCAATGATAAGAGCCCGAACTAAAGTCATGAAGTAAGCCTTGTTTAGTCTTATACAAGAAGTCCAAGAGCTTGGAGAGCATTGGGGAAGTCTTCTCAAGCCTAATGGAGAGCATCTATATGTGTATAATGTGATTAAGATCCAAATCCATGAAGAACTAAGCCCAAGAGATGCAAACCTTAGCCCACTGCAAGAAAAACTATAAGTTGAGCCTCTTGCATGCAAGGAAGCATGAAACCCTAGTGAAGAAATCAAGGGTGACGTGATTTTAAATCTTTTATGATCCCTTGATTGTCTACTTAATTGTTTCCTATTTTAGTGGTCCGTTGACTTGACTCTTTTTCTTAAGGAGCAAGACTAGTCCTAGTTTCCTATTTTGAGTCTAGTCAAAGATTAGGATTAATTATAAGTTTTGTAATCCCATAATTTTAGGATCACATCTCCTAAATTATGTGGCTGAATATTTTCTTATTATTTTATATTATTTTCTTTCTCATTTTAATATTAGGAAATTAGGGTTTTAATTTTAGAAAATATTCTTCTCTATGAGACTATATATATTAGGCATGCTCCCTCTTGTAAACAGAAGAGAACTTGAATGAAATTATTCATTTTTAGAGTTTATAACTCTTGTGAGCCTTAGTGCTTTGTGGCGGCATCCCGTGTGAGAAATAGACGTGATCAAAAGCATGATCAACTCTTGTAGTGTTTTCAAAGGTTGAGGTTTCTAAAGGCAGGTGCTCTAGAGGATCTTATTCTTGATCATTATCCCGTTGTTTATTTCCTTTCTTTCTTTACTTTCATCATAAATTTTGTCGCTTTCTTTTTGTTCTTGTGTTTTTATTATGTTTTAGGGTTCTGTCCCTAAACTAGCACAATTCTACTTTCGCGTCCCCTATTAGATTGGTATCAGAGCTTTTGTTGCTAGTTTTGGTTCAAATTATTGTCCTTTCTTCTTCTTTTTCATCTTGAGTTATTTCTTTTTGTGGTCATCTCTTATCTACTCCATCTACTTCTATCTTTTGGATTTTCTCTTCCTCATCTTTATGACTTTTTTTTATCTTATGTGAGTTTTTATTTTATTAGCCTTCTCAAAAAACTAAAAAATATACCTAGAAATTCGTGCAAAAAAAGAGACAAAAAAGTGTTAGTGTGTTGAACAAAAAAGAGAAAAAAATCTAAAAATTTAAAAAAATTATAAAAAAATATATTGTTGTGAGTTATGACTGTAGAAAAAGGCTTTTCTTGAACTCCAGACCACCAAGAGGTTGCCTAAATAGAAAAGTCAACTTGGATGATAAGAAAATCTTCTATGTCGATCACTTTCTTATTTTTAATTTTTGATAGCACTTTTCAAATTCTCTACTCTCTTATTTGCTATTTGTGCTACTCTCTTATTTTATTTAGTTTCCTATTTTTGTCTTTGAATATTTGATTCTTTGACTTTTATTTCTTTCTTTCTTATTTTTGTTGCCACGTGTGGTTTTTCCTTTTGCAAGTTTAATTTTATTTGAAAATTTTGCTATTCTATTTGTTTCAAAATTGCAACAAAATATATATATATATATATATCCTCTTTTCATCTTATGCTTGTTTTCTAGTTTCCTTAATTTAGAAGATATTCACTTGGTTCTTTCTTAGTTTCTTGATTTGTGTTTGATTTCACTATTGGATTCTATCCATAAGCTTAGTGAGTAATAAAAGGCAAGTGTGTTTTTCATCATTAAAAAAAGGCCATTATTTTTTTTTTGTAAAACACGAGTGACTTTATTTATCTTGAGAGTAAACATGTGAGTTTATGTGTGTGAGGATCCATTTTTATCTTATATGATTTCTAGTGCTTTTGTAAATATGAGTAACAACGATGAATCCCCTAGTATTGATATGAACTCTACTTTAGAACTTATCAAAACACAGTTGCAGCAGTTTCGCTTGGAACTTGATCATAGGTTCCATAAGGAAGATAAAGATGAGCTAGAGACTTCCTCTTCTAAAGGAAAGAAGCGTGAGACCCCAACGATGATGAGGAGTATGAAGAGCCCCCTTCTCCTAAGGGAAAGAAATCCTCAAAGCGTGATGTTAACTTACTGGACCAGAAAGTAAAGTATCCTTCATTCAAGCGTAGCAACAATCTAAAAAAATACCTTGATTGGGAAATGAAGATGGACTAAATCTTCATGACTCTTGATTTGTCTGAGTCAAGAAAGGTAAAAACTGCTTCTTTAAATTTCATTAACTATGCTGTTTATTGGTGGCAAGATTTATAGTACAAAAGAAGCCAACTTGGAAAAAAGCCCATTAAAACATGGGAGAAGCTTAAAAGGTACTTGAGAAAGGCTTATGTCCCCAGCCACTACTACATAGAGCTGAATAGAAAATTGAGAATGTTTTCTCAAGGATTTATGATAGTGGAGGAGTATGTGCATGAGTTGAATATCTTGAAGTTTCGTGCAAACATTCAAGAAAATGAACGTGAAGCAATGTCAAGAATTATGGATGGCTTGAGGCCAGAATTAAGAGATAAGCTTGACTTGTATACTTTTGTAGACAAGGAAGAGCTCATACACAAGGCCATAAAGTTGGAGCAGAGAAATAAGAATAAACATTCTAAATTCTCTTGGAAAGACTCCAAGACAACTTCCAAATAGAAGGATTCTAAAGCCAAAGACATATCCCAGGCCAAGGAAGAAATAAAGATCAAGTATGAGGGTAAAACTTCTAACCCTAAACCTTCTTCTTATTCATCTAACACTTCTCCTATTAATGTTTCAAATGTCATGGTGTGGGTCATATGGTGAGAGATTGTAGAAATAAAAGAGTTATGATCTTAAGAGATGATGGTGGCTATGATAGTGTGCATGAAAGTGATAAAGAAGATGCTCATAATGTTGATGATGATTCTACCTCTCATGAATCAAGTGATGAGCTTGAATGTAATGGTGTAGTTGACTCTATCTTAGTGGCAAGAAGAGCTTTCAATATTCAACCAAAGGAGGATGATAAACATAAGCAACGCGAGCATATTTTTCATACTAGATGCTTCATCAAAGAGAAAGTATGTAACATGGTAATTGATGGTGGTAGTTGTACTAACGTAGCTAGCACTTGTAGATAAATTATCTCTACCTTTAATTCCACACCCTAAGCCCTACAAATTGCAATGGTTGAATAATTGTGCTGAAATTAGGGTTTCTAAGCAAGTGTTAATTACTTTCTCTATCAGGGTTTATACTTGTGATGTATTATGTGATGTAGCCCCTATGCTTGCTGGACACTTGTTATTAGGTAGGCCTTGGCAATTTGATAGTAAGGCTACTCATGATGGTTTCAGAAATTATTATAAGGTGCCTTTTAAAGGCAAGATTGTTGTATTAAATCTTTTTAGGCCCATCCAAGCCTATGAAGATCAACTAAAGATTGCTCAAGATTACAAGTAAAGGAGAGATCTCCTTGATTGTGGTATGAGTGAGAGAGAAAAGAAAGAGAATATTACTTTACTTGAAAATCAATAAAAAAAGAGGAAAAAGAGTGGTGAGAAGGTGAGAAAAGAAAAAAATAGAATGGTGGGAGTGAAGAAAAATAATGAAAAGAAAATATTATTGTATGAAAAAAGTGAGATTCAAGAGGCTTTGATGAGTGAGCAAGCTCTTATTGTAATTCTCAAGAATATTTATTTTTCTGACACTCTTGATCCTACTTTGCCTTCTAGTGTTGTCTCTTTATTGCAGGATTATAGAGATCTATTCCCTAATGAGATTCCTAATGGACTTCCTCCCTTAAGAGGAATTCAGCATAGGATAGCTTTCTTGCCCAGAGCTGCTATTCCAAACAAGCCTGCTTATAGGGCTAACCCTGGAGAGACTAAGGAGATCTAGCACTAAGTAGAGGAATTGATGATAAAAGGCTTTGTGCGTGAGAGCCTTAGCCCTTGTGCTATCCTTGTTGATTGTAGAGCAATCAACAAAATCACTGTAAAGTATCGTTACCCTATCCCTAGACTTGATGATATGCTTAATGAATTGTATGTTGCTTTTATCTTCTCTAAAATTGATCTTAGAAGTGATTATCATTAAATTCGTATGAAAGAGGGTGATGAATGGAAAACTTCCTTTAAAACTAAATTTGGATTATATGAATGGTTAGTTATGCCTTTTGGTTTGACTAATGCTCCTAGTACTTTTATGGCATTAATGAATCATATTTTTAGAAAGTTTATTGGCAAGTTTGTTGTGGTTTACTTTGATGATATTCTGATTTATAGTAAATCTTTGACTGATCATATGAATCATCTTAAAGCTGAGTTTGT